ACCCCCCCCCCGGGTGCGTTTTTCCAGGTCCATCAGATCCCCACCTGGCCCCACCCAACCCAGGGCTGCTCAGGAGCTTTGGCTGCCCCCCACCCTCTGACCCACGAGACCCCTCTGGCCCAAGAGCACCCGGGCCCCTCTCAAAGGGGGCAGGAGTCTGCTCTCTGTTTCCGGCCTGCCCCTTGGAATATAATTGGCCCCAAATAAATTCTGCAGCCTGGCCGGGCAGGCGGGGGGCGGGGGGGAACCAGCCAAAGGAGGCAATTTCCATCACAAAGACCGAGAGGGGGAGAGAGCCGGCCTGCGAGGAAAAAAGCTTCATTAGGCACACCATCAAGGTCGCTTCTAATTTAGTCCACCTAATTGGCCAACGTGGCTCCAAACGGCCATCCTCTTTGAGGGCTCCGAATTAATGATGGCCGATTATTTTCATTACCTTCATCCGAGACGGGGAAGGGGACCGGTGGGGAGTGGGGCTGGGCAAGGGAGGAAAGCAAGAGAGGACAGCTGGCAGGAGAGGCAAACAATGGGAGCAGGGAAGAGGCCGGGGAAGGGGAGGGCCAGGCCGCCAGGGTCTTCCTGCCAAGCTGCCATCTGCTCCCTGCGTGGCTTGGGGGCAACCAACCCGGCTGAAGGACCAAGCTGGCCCCAAGACAAAACCAAGGACCGGCCTGACCCAACCAACGCCAGCCCCCAGTTCTGCAGCTGGGTGGCAGAGCAGATGCAGCCTGCCAGTGGTCAACCTAAGGGGTGACCACTGGCACAACCCAGAACCTAGAATACTCTCAACGGAGTCCCTCATCCCTCCAACAGCCCCTTAGGTTGACCACTGGTAGGCTGCATCTGCTCCACCACCCAGCCAAGAATGACACTGTGCCCACCCCTGCCCGCAGCACTCATGGGGACCAGGCTGTTCTGGTGCCTCCTGGCTGGGCACACCATGCAGGAAGTTTGGAATCCAGAGGTGAGACACACAGCAGAAGCCAGCAGCTATGCTGTGGGAACAGCCCCATTTACCACAGTAGGTACTTGCTGGCCCTGATCCACAAAAGGCTCCTTGCTGCTCCAGTGCAGCCTGCAGGTGTGCTGCAGGGCACCCGGGTGCACGTCCATTTCTCAGAGCTGATGTTATTTGAAGGAGAATTCCTCATGTTAAGTAGGAACCTTGTTTCAAGCAACCAGGAGGGTGGCCTTCTGCCACAGCCCTGGAGGTAAAAACCAAGCTGAGTGGAGACGCAGATACACTGCAGCCAGCTGCTCCAGCTGTGGCCAGAGCTCTTCCCTTCCTTTGCAGTGGCAGCAGCAGCCCATGGCCCCAAGATCATCCACAACCCTCGGCCCACTTCCAAATTCCCTTGGCAATCCAACAGTTGAGATTGCTGGCAGGAGATAATGGTTTCCTTCCCCAACAGCATGCGGGCAAGGATACAGAGCAGAGACATTCTCATGGAAGGGGTGCCCGAAAGAGAGAAAAGGGGAAGGGCTCTGTCCTCCATCACTGGCAAGCATTGCAGCCTAACGCCTTTCACCGGCAAGAAGGCAGCCCTGGGCGGGGAGATTTCTGCCCGTCCTCAGCATCGTAGTGCTGGGGAGGGGTCCTCCCAGGAAAGACGAACAGTGAGGAAGAGGGGTCCCTGTCTCAAGGGTCGGGGTTGGCGTTGTTTGGAAAGAGCCGTACCAGGCCAAGAGGACAGCAGACCAAGGATGGTCAAGCTAGAGAAGACCAGGGTTTTGCAGTATCCGTCTGAGCAGGGAGGAGCGGCCAAAAGAAGGCTGTAGGCTTTGACCTAAAAGGATGGACCCGGAGGATTCATGGTGGATGGATGCCCCAGTCAACGAGGGCCCTCCGTGGCAGCTGGAGGAGGCCTCACAGTCCAGGATTGCGACCGGCCACAGAAGGCAGGGAGGGCCTCCTGGCTCCTTCAGAGCCTGGACAGCCCCAGGCCGTCTCAGCCGTCCTCAGGAACAGGGCTGCTAAGTCGGCTCTTCCCTTTGCTTCTCCACATCTGGTGCCAGAGGCAGCCATGCCGTAGCACCTTCTCCTCTTGACCTGCCCTTCTCGCATCAGATGCTCTCCTCGATGCTTTGAGCAAGTCCCATGGTGGAGGGACATGAAAGCCTCCCCCCACCCCTTGAAGGAACTCACCGTCAAGAGGAGTTTTTCCACGCAGTCAGGAGACACGCTGTGCAGGTGGGTGAGGTGGAGCTGAAGATGGAGCTTGTTGCTGAGCAGGTCCTGGCAGAGGGGGCACCGGAGCATTGGCTGGATGGAGTGCTGGGTCATGGCGTGTACCCGCAGCCGGTTGACATCAGCATTGCTGTACTTGCAGTATGGGCACTGGTACATCTGAAGGCAAGAGAAAGCATGGGTTCTCAGGGATCGAGAGGTAGCCAGGGGGCAGCATGGCATGCCTCGCCAGCCCATCGTCACACCTGGCCAACTTGTCTTGGGACACGCTCTCCCTCTCATGCTTTGCATGCCGGCACTGGGCTGCCTGGAGACCCAAAGGCGGATCATTCCTGCTTTAGCACAAGAGCAAGGTGAGGCTTCTTAGGTGCCAGCGCCACCCCAGCATCTCACCTGCTCCAGCTTTGCCTCGTCAGATGACGTTGGCCATTTGGGGACAGGTGACTCTGAGTGTCTTGAAAATGAAGCATGTTTGGAGGAGAGTGGGGGGTCTGCCAGCTCCTTCTCAGCCTGGGGACCTTGAGCTGCAAAAGAGAGAAAGACACTAGTCTGTGAACACGGGATCCTGTGGCTTCAGAGGGGCACGCAGAGGCAGCAGTGGGAGACCTGCAGGGAGGCGGCGCCTTCAGCCCAGAGCACCCCTCAAATCACTACCTTCCTCCCACCCAAACCTCAGCTGAAGGAGCTCTGCTTGCTCTCAGTAACATCACTGCTTAATCATACCCGCAAGGCTGCACATAAGAAGAAGGGAGTTTGCAAAGGGATGTCAGGGCTGAAGTTGCAGTCAGCCTGAGCTGTAAGGGGACTTCCAAGGCAGCTGCTGCTGAGAACTGTCGGCAGAGGACAGGGTGGGCCTTTCTGCGTTTGGGGTCCTGCAAGAGACAGCAGTCTGATCCTCCCCCCAGCAGAGCAGCATCTGAACAACGGTGGTCCCCGTCCAGTGAGCCAGCAGCACCCTCATCCACTGAGTGTCTGAGTCACTGGAAGGCTCCCTCTTCCTGCCACCTTCTCCTAACCATCCCTCCCTTTCTGCCTCTGTTGGAAACGCCCCATGGTGGCCATGTATGTATGTGTGTGTGTGTGTGTGAAAATTAAAATGGGGAAAGAGATGGAATTCCTAGACCTGCAAGGCTGTTCTAGGAATTCTTCTCTGTGCTAGCAGCATGAAGGGTGGGTTAATGAGCTGTGACGGCTGGCCAGGAAGGTTTGCTTTACTCCCAAACAATCCTGGGGCTGTTTAGATATAAAGCCCCCTTTAAACCCAGTGCTGACCAAGCCATGGTATCCGTGTCCCATGCTACCCCTTCCTTATGGTGCGAACGCAGCCATAATGTGCAGAGAGCCCCTCTGCTGGTCTGCAACCTTCCAACTATTCTCCTGTGTTCAAGCATGAATTTCATCCGGAACAAGCCCAGCCAAAAAGGCCACAGAGTAGCCCCTTCGGACCAGACTTAGCCATACCCCTCCAAGACCAAGTCCAGCTAGCCTTCAGACCCATGAAGGCCTTCTGGGAAAGAAAGCAAGTGGCTGCCAGGTCAAAACCTGGACATCCAGGTAAGCAAAGGGAAAGACCTAGGAGGCGCCTCAAGGGGGGCGGTGGGTGGAAAGTTCACAGCCTCCCAGGGGATACCACGCGTAAACCCGCCCATTGGGTCCTTCAGAGGCCCCTGCCACAGGGGACTGGGGAACCATTCTCTCCTTCCCGCTGTCCATATCTACCCCAAAGGTCACGAGGATGAGCCCCCAGGCCACCCAACTGAGGTGAGGAAAGTTGAACCAAGTACAAGAATGTTCCAGGAATTGACTCTGAGAGGACACATCTTGAATGGTGGGCAGAGGGCACAAGAGGCTACCTTCTGCCGAGGAGACCCCTGCCCGTATGGCTCAGCGTCACTGATTCTGGCTTTAAAAAATCACCCTGAAAGTTCTAAAATGGATCGGGAAGTGCATTTTCTACCTGACTCTTCTTGAATCAAGAGTCAATTTTCCAACTGTCTCAGGCTTTTAACACCAGGAGAGGATCTTCTTCTATCATCTGCTGTGAAAAGTGGTATAAAGATGAAATACAGAGTCCAACTCGTGTGTTCAGGGGGAAGACTTACTAACTGGGCACTGGTATAAAGAGTACAGATGGTGTCAGAAAGGCTACAACTCAGAATGAGCTGAGGTTGGCAAAGGCTGGTAAAAACGTTGAAAGAGTTTCCTCAGATATGTTCAAAACAAAGGTAAGAGAAAAGAATCCGTATACCAGCTGCTCAACAAAGATGGCAAAACAAGTAACAAAGAAAAGTAGAATTAATCAACTTCTTTTGCTCAGACTTCACTAACAAGGAGATCTGTTTCACCAAGCAGTTGTGATGAAGGGGCTTGAGATCAACAGAAATTTCTATTTACGTTGTGTTTGAATCTCTAGGCCCAGATGAGTTGCGTTCTAGGGTACTGAAGGAACCTGCAAATAGTCTTGTTGAATCTCTATACATATACACCTTCCCTGTTGCAGCGCCTGCCCTTTGGAATGAGCTTGCCCCCAAGATTCGAATGGCCCCCACCCTACTGGTGTTTCAAAGGGCCCTGAAGACCTGGCTCTTTGCCCTGGCCTTCGGCAAGCGCAATGGAAGCCCCCTTTTCTTCTTTTCCTTTGTCCCCATCTGGGTTTGTGACCTCTGCTGTCTCTGCTCTTTTTCGTTTTGTGTTGTTTTCTTGTTTTAAATGTTTGTAACAATCTGTAAACCGCCCAGAGTTGCTGGGAGTCTGGAGGCATCTAAATTTAATTTCTTCTTCTTCATCATCATCATCATCTTTCAGACATCGGCGAATGGGTGAAATGTCAGTTCAATGGAAGAAGCAAATACCCTCATCTTCAAAGAGGGGATAAGAAAAGTTCCAAGGAACTACAGACCAACCAGTCTGACAATGATAGCTGGGAAAATTCTAGACAGATAATAAAGCAATTAAATTATAAAATACCCAAAATGCTGCAATAATTACCAGACGTCACATTGGACAGGCCAAGAATTGACCAGACTAATCTGATCTAATCTTTTCAATCTGGTAACTTCCTTACTAGATTATGGAAATGTCTAGACATAATAAAATCTTGATTCCAGCACTGCATTTCACAGAGCAGTCCATGATATTCTGATTAGCTAGACAGTTAAGTATATGTGGGATGGTGTGAAAATTAAGTGGTTAATAGAGATGGCTATAAAACATGGCCAATGAGTTCTGTGTGCATCAACATTGTTATCAATGACTTGGATGAGGAGGTGGAGGGAATGCTTCCTAAATTTGAAAAGAGCACAAAATTTTAATACCATAAAAGAAAGACATAAAATTCAGAACCATCTTAACAGATTAGAGAAACTGGTGCAATAAGCAGAAATAAAAATTGAAAGAGAAAAATGCAAAGTTATTCATTAAACATAAATAAAAAGGGCAGGTTATGAAATGGGAGATACCTGGCTTGGTAATAATATTTACAAAAATGACCTAGGAATAGGAGTTGATTACAAACACAATACAAAGCAAGAGCATGACATGGTTGCAAAAAATAATTTTAGGCAGCATCAACAGAAGTAGTGATTTCATTTCTGCCCAATGTTGGGTATCTTATTGCAGAAGGATTAAAATACACTAAAAGGGCAACAAGGATGATCAGGAGATTAAAAACTAAACTGAGAAGAAAGGGACCAAAGGAATTGACAGTATTTAGCCCTGAGAAAAGGGGATATATGACTGTGCGCTACCTGAAAGATCACGCTGAAGGCTGCCAAGACTTGTTCTTTATCATCTCAGAGGATCAAGAATAGTACGTTTGAGTTAAGGGAAGGCAGATTCCCATTGAACGTTGGGAGGAAGCGCCTAACAGTAGGAGAGCTCGGCAGCAGAACCGGCGGCCCAGGGAGGCAGCGGGTCCCCTTTCACCGGAAGTGTTCAAGCAGAGGCTGGACAGCCTCTGGGGTGTTGCGCAACCTCAGTGACCCCTCCCAATCTGAAGCGTTTCTAGTGCCTGACTAAATCTTGCTCCTCCTGGAAACAGCCACCAGCTTCTCTTCACTAAGAAGTTACTGATGAAAACAAGTGGTTGAAAGGATTGAAATTCACACTATGTTATAATTTAAAAAGAGGATTTTTACAAAATGATGTACCGTTGGTATATGACTCCAGAAAAATTATCTAGAATGTATAAAGATACTTCAAATTTATGTTGGAAATGTGGGCAACATAAAGGGTCATTTTATCATGCCTGGTGGACTTGTAAAAAAGCCAGAAAATTTTCGGTTCAAATACATAAAACAATACAAAGAATTTTAAAGACTAATATTCAACTGAACTTTTGCTGGGACTAATGGACAGACAATTAGAAAAG